CACACACAGGCTTTGGCTGCAACGACTTCACAATCGAAGTCGATGAGGCGCCTCTCGAAGTCAACCCTTTCCCGGAGCGTGTGTCCTATCACCTGCAGGTACGCGCATGTCGCGGAAGATATCATATATCATGCGCTCACATGCGAGCTGGACTGGAGAAAGAACTGTAAGTGACGGATCTCATATCACAACTCTTCAAACCTAATCGCACAGTCTTCGTGTCTATGACGTTGTACCTTCGCTTTACTGATTTCTTGCCTCACCGCTAACACGATAGAAATACACAGCTCTCGGTGATCGTTCAATATTCACCTGCAGAATCAGCGTCGATCGCACCTATGTCGAGGTGCTTCATCTCACCGAGCACTCAATGATCTGGGACCGGTCGCCCCACAAGCCTCGTGTTAGCCTTCCATGGCGGCGTGACCGTCCTTCACGTTCAATTACAACTAGTCCAGACGCTGTGTGTATATGGTGAGCTCTACTTCCGGGCCAAAGCATATTGCCCCCGGAGGACGTGCGCGCTATTCACCTTCTATCGCAGGTGCTGCAGAAGTACTAGTGGTACGGTAAGGCTCTGGTTTGGTGGAGTTTACGAGGGAATCACTCCCTGCGGGCAGTGTTATGCTCTTCACTAGCGGCAGCTGGTATCCCTGGATGGATAGTAAGCCAAGTATTCGCGAGGCTGTGATGTCCATCGGACTGCTCTTATCTAGAGCAAGATATTGAGGAGCTTCGGCGGATCATGCCAGGAAGACCTCATGTTACCATGATCGCCCCTCTTCGGAAGGGGTGAACTCACAGCCTCGAAGTGAAGGGGCATACATATATACCGGCAGGGGAGACACAGGTCACGTCGCCAAACCCACCATGGACCGTACTCCCACCCCCGACAACTTCAACACCATTGCCGAAGTTGACGCTGCAGTTGAAGATGTCCTGCAGCGCGGCATAACTGTGGATATCGTTTCGGACCTTACAAGCTTCGAGCAGCCATTCCTCAACCGGTCGGATGAGTTCTGTCGACTCCTGGCCATGAAGTACGTCTCCCGCCAGAACTCCGACGTGACGCGTGCGAAGAAGGAGCAATACGAGCGCAACCGAGCGAGGTTGCATATGGAGGATTCCTCGGCACTGCACTTCGAAGGTTTCAGGCGCGCGTTCGGGGAGATCAACACTGGGAGTGACAATGCGTTCGGCGAGGACCGAGTTCAGAGCTTCCTTGACTTGGGCTGCGCTCCAGGCGGATCCTCGACGTGGATCCTGCAGAACAACAGGAATGCTAGAGGAATAGGAATCACTTTGTCCCCGGACGCTGGAGGCCTCCGGCTACAACTTGACTCCCCATTTCTCGAGCAGCTCCAAGTCCGCTACGAAGATCTGTGCAAGATTGCGTCAGGAGGGGAAGCCATTGGTACGTCGGTCATCGAGCGGGGCATGCCGAATAACCCTTACTAACACCACCCCATAGAAGATACCCCGGCTACAGGCTTTGACCTCGTCGTTGCGCATGCCGCGATCATGTTCACGGACGACGTCCGCTGGACTCAGTCCATCGCCCTGACATATGCCCAACTTCTGATCGCCTTCCAGCACATCGCGCAGGACGGATCTCTCGTCATCAGTCTCAGGTCGCGTCCGTTGAATTGGGTCGTCGATATCGTTCGGGCCCTTGATGAGGCATTCACGTCGGTGCATGCTGTGAACACAATGTATCAGGGAAGAAGACCCTTCGTCAACGTCGTGTGCAGGGGATTCCGCGCGGGCACGGATGAGAGAAATGAGTACATCCGCCGCCTTCGTCTGTGTGTCAGGTACTTCGAGACTACCAGTGGGTCCCTCGTCTTTGACACAAGCGTGAGATTGGATCGACATGCTAACGTATGTTTGGTGGTAGCCGGGCCCGTCGACGCACCGAACGGTGGCGCGGCGAATATCCCTCGTCTGTGCGGCACGCGAGACGAAGAGATTCCGGAAGCGACATACCAGTATGTGTTGAACCTATTCACCGGCGTTTGGCAGAGCAAGTATGCTGCCATCCGCCACAATTGTCAAAAAGTGTTTGTGAGACGTAATGCAGATAGAGGCAGGCACAAACGCACTCCGGCCATGGTGCAAGCCGCTGATAACTCATCGCATACAGTGATGAGCGCAGGCTCAGACGAGAACAATGGAAGTTACCGCACTGCTGGACAGCAGTTAGGTGCTGCCCGTGTGTTCGTAAGTGCCACCAACTGATTACAGTCTTGTACTGGACTTAGAAGTCATCGCAGACACCTACCGCGCAGCCCAACGGCGGCGGCTCATTTGCATGGCGGAGCCGCCCCAGCGTGGAGTCGGCTGACAGCTATATCAGACGCCGTGACGAGAAGAATGCCGGTTACAACGCTCTCTTCAAGCGCGTTGGCGGCGTGGGTCGCGCCGCCGATCGCCCAGGCTCTTGGAGGAAGTACTAAAGTCGAAAGCCTTGCCTGTTAACCTACTGGAAGTACTGGAACTGCTAGCTGTAAGTCTGCGCAATCACTAACCAGCAACACGCTGACCTGTATTGTTTCTTCTTGACTTTGTTGCATCTTAGTCGTAAGGTCCGACGCCACACGACAAAGTGCACTATATCTTCTTGCCTTACATCTGTTGTTGTGCGGTGTACGGAGAGTACACTGTTGAACAGCTACCTTCTTGCTACGTACGGATACACGGCTCTTGTATCTCGCATACTGGAAGTATACCGCTCAACGAAGGGTGTCCTAGATCCTGCCATGCACGTGTGTCGGTGCCAGTACTAGTACTAACAGCTGGTAAGTACTATAGCAGCACGGCCCCCTCGTGTTCGACGATACGTTGCAAGGTGCACACGTTTCCTTATTCCAATAGCACAAGCATCACGGATTGAAACCCGTCTCATCGACGAGACTTTGTCTGGTTGCCGTACTGTATGTATCATACTGACTACCGTCGCGCCGGAACCATCGCAGCGGAGAACAACTGGGAGGGAATCATCAAGGATCCCTACGCCGTCGCCGAGCGCTCTCTCAAGCCTCGTGTAAGTTAGGTTTCTCGTATCGATGTTGACCAGGCTTTCATCGACACAATCTAGATGTGCGGTAAACGCTTCAATCCCTCAAGCAACCTCTACCATTTCAGGAGGTTGGTGATCCGACTACCTTCTATTGCAGGTACTGCGTGTGATAGAATGCCGAAATTTGGGATCCTGTGGTTTCTTGGAGGAGTATTCCGCCTGCGGACTGAGTCATGCTCTGTGTAGAGGCGGATCCTCGCGAGACGTTCTTGAGACGTTCCTAGGCTAACTGAACGTGAGTGCCTGCCACTTCACTCCCCGCTATCCTTCGCTGTCCCGTCACACTTACTAGTGCATCAGCGTATCCATTCATTCACGGCTTCTTCTCGCTTTGGGTAGCCTCGTGTTATGATCATTGAGCCCGGGATGCTAGAAGGCAGTATCTCCACGCAGGCCCCTCGAGGCGAACGAGCATAAATACCGACGGACATAGAACCGAACGCAAATTCTCACCATGGACCTTACCACTGCCACCGACAGCTTCACGACCATTGAAGAGGTCGACGCTGCCGTTGAGGACATCCTGGCCCACGGCCTGCCCGAGGCGATCGTCTCGAGGCTTACGAGCTTCGAGTTGCCCTTCTACGAAAAATCGTATGAACTGCGCCGCCTCACCGCTATGAAATACTTCTGCCGTCAAAGCCCTGACGTGACCCGGCACCAGAGGGTGCAAGACCAGCACAACCGCGCGGCCATTCAGTCGGAGGACGTCCCGCAGCGACACTTCGTAGGATTCAAGCACGCCTTCCATGAAATAAACTACATGAGCGGTAGTCCATTTGGCGACGATCGGATCCAACATTTCCTCGACCTGGGGTGTGCCCCGGGGGGCTTCGCCATCTGGGTGTTGCAGAACAACAGGAACGCTCGAGGCGTCGGTGTCACCTTGTCCCCGGAGGCCAAAGGCATCCGGATACAACTTGGCACCAAGTTTCTGAAGCGGTTCGACGTCCAGTATGGAGATGTGTGCGAGATTGCGACGGGACAGGCAACCATAGGTACGTGCAATGTCATTTTGAGGCACTGTCATGGCAATGCGTGCTGACTGTTAGGACCACGGGAGGTCCCAGACGGCGGTTTTGAGCTTGTCCTTGCGAATGCTGCGATCATGTTGGCGGACGACATCATCCCCTGGGCGGACACAATCCGCCTGGTATATGCCCAGCTACTAGTTTCCTTCCAGCACATCGCGCAGGGCGGCTCCCTGGTGATCAGTTTTAGGTCGCGTCCTTTGAAATGGGTCGTCGACATCGTTCGCCTCCTAGGTCAGGCATTCACGTCGACCAGGACAGAGAACCCGTCATTTCAGGGTCGACGCTCGTTTGCCTACGTCGTCTGCAGAGGATTCAATGCGACCGAGGAAGAGAAAAACAGGTACATCCATCGCATCGGCGAATGCGTGGAGTACTTGAAGAACGCCAGTATGATCGTCTGCTAGTATAGTGCACCGGGTGCAGTATGTTGATGTGTTTCATGGCAGCCGGACGTGTTGACGACCCATCCGGTGGGACGGCGAACATCCCGCATCTCTGCGGCGCGCAAGACGAGGCCATCCCGGAAGAAACATACCAGCACATAGTGGACATGTTCGCCAACGTCTGGGAGCGCCAATATAACGCCATCCATTCCAATTATGAAAAGGTACTACTCGAGCAACAGGCTCGTGAGAGATGTGAGTACAAACCTGTCTCCGTAAGGTAACACACTCACCTTGAAGCTGTTCAGTCAATGCGCAGACGAGCGTAGGCGAGGACATCGGAGGCGGTTCTTGGAAACCTGTGGGACGTAGACCGGTCGTGCAGCCCAACGAAGGCGGCCCGTTCAAATGGAGTCGTCCGACCGCGCCGCCTGACGACATCTACCGGAAGCGCCGCATGGAGAAGAACGCGGCTTACAACACGTTCTTCAGTCGTCGCGATAGCGCGAGCGGCAGCGCTGATGGCCCCGGCACCTGGCGGAGGGGCTAGATGTGAGGACAGTCCATGGCAGCTGGAAATACTGCGATTGTGAGTCTGTGTAGTAGCCGGGCTGCGAAATGATTTGTATGTCTGTTGTCGTGATACTGCCGCAGCGTGTATGATAGGAGGAACCTGCTGTTTCGGACTTCGTGTGCATGAACTGATCTGGGACAATGGAATGACAGAAAGCGGGCGAGATGACGGCGTCATGGGTGGTGGGTAAGGTTCGCATCCCAGCGGAGTAGCAGCAAGGATGTTTCACAAAGCCTTCCTACGAAGGGTATACACATTAAAGACACAAGCATCAGCCCCATGCTGCAGTTGTACTGGTGAAGATGGATTAGGGCAAAGTGTTCGTCAGAGAGGTCATCAGCACGAACCTATAGTTCACTATTAGATGGCCATCTGTCGCGAATGACTGCGGCGCCCCTTGTCAGGCCCATGTCGATGGTTGATACGACATAGAATACATACCTTAAACAAGTTCGTCACGGTATCATCCGGCGCGGGAGAGAACGCAAGGTTGATGTACGTGAACTGGGCGTGCCAGTGGTCAGATATGCCGCGGACGACGTGGACTAGCAACGCGCTCACCAGCGGGTCTCCAGCCTTCCACCCCAGCTCCTTCCTCAAGAACTGAATCACCGCCTGGAATCTATTCGACGCGGTGATCTTGTAGAAATTCTGCTTCATGATTGGCGCATTCCCGACCGCCTTGAACCGCACGACGACTGTGCGGCGACCACTTCAGTGCGCCGGTCATCGCCGATGTGGTGGTATACGCACCTTTGTTCGGATCTTTCTTCCTGTAGGCCTCAAGGGCATCCTGGGCTTCCTGCATGCTGCCTGCGGTGTCGAGCGACGTCCATGCCGAGGGCAAAACGCGAGCCTGACCGTCTGCCATGCGGTGTGTTCGCGCTCACCGTTTTCGGACTGGCGCGCTTGCCCGGCCCGCTTAGCACGGAAAGGGCCGACGATGACCTCCTCCCTCGTCCTCGTCCTCGTCTTCTTCACTCTCCTCGTCTTCATCCTCGTTGATGCGGGATACATGCAACATCTCTTTCAAGTTTGATTTGCGACGTGGCGGCTATGGGAGGCAAATCACCTGCAACGGAAGTCTCTGATAGTAGGGCTCGTCGTGCCCGCCTAGCAAAGGAATCGCGTAACCGCATGGCGGATAGGCTGGTTTTTCGGGAGACAGTACGTGTTGCTATTTTGTTTTCTTCAGTTTCGTCGTTCGCCTCGGTTCTCGTTCTCCCTTCCCAAGACACGGTTACTCCAACACCTAGGGCAGAGTCGTACAATCCTCTACGCTCGAACTATACAAGCTCTGTTGAGTGGTCAGCATGACGAGCTCTTCAGGCCGCATACATTCGACAATCGTGTTTACTGGCGCTCTTTATGGGGTTCTGGTGCCGTCAATTCACGAATAGCCCGCTTTGCGACAACCATGGCCCGGGGACCCGACTGTATGCGCTTTTCGACTTTTGCTAAAGCGAGATGGCGAATTGGCGTGCATATGCGCATATATGTACTTCACAGGACTTGCATGTGAACATGCGCTGATCGCTTTACGCAGCTTTAATCAAGCTTTAGCTTTATGTCCTACCGAGATGGACGATCTCGTGTATGGATCTAGCGACCACGGCCAGACCGTATACGGTATACTATATGTATACTGAGGCCCTGAAGGCCTGAAGCTTGAAGCTCCATGCTGGACTCGGTTGCTCAACGACTACCCTGTCGAAGCTACCAGCCGTTGATGTGATGATCCTTACTGACAGTAATCTTTACACCCAGGCCATGATGTTCGCCAGGACATGTGCAAAGCACTAGTCATCCTCCCATCCTATCTAAATCCTGCCGCATGCCCCCCCGGGCTTCGTGACGCATGCGATTGTGGTTTGATCCCCACAGCGGTCCACACTGTTGGTTCCTTTATCTCGACATAAGTATGCCCTGGACTGCCAGGAGCTGTCTTTCGGCCTGCTATAAATACCTTCACGTCTCTGCACTGCAAGGGGTACCAGAAAATAAAATTTCGTACACAATGCCCTATTTTTCCGAATTTCGCCCAATCTGTCCGACCACCCACCCCACCCCCCGAATTTTTTTCCGTGAGGCCGCTCATGGGCTTGGACGACCCACCCACCCCCCTAAGTTTGAGAAAAAAGTACCGATTAATGACCGAAAAATGTGCTAGGTATTATGCTGCTGTGTCGGCCCTACATCTAAGCTACGATTCATGAATGTCGCGCCTTCTTCGCAGAGGAGCCCTCGCCTGAGTTCTGTGCACGTCGCTTTTTCATACCCTTATCCGTCTCGTCAGGCTTTCCTTTCTCCAGCTTCAGATAGATGCGCTCGTTGCGCGACCCAAATGCGAATGAACGCTCGAATTCCTCGCTCAGCTGAATGTTCGCGTGATGCGTCTTGACGTGTTTCGGCATGTTGTAGGACCAAAACACAATGTCGTCATCGATATTCGGGCCTTTCTGTGGCGGACGACGTTCCTCGCACGGTTTGCATACCACAGGTCGGTTGGTACTGGGGCCCGTTTGCGTGGGTGTCTCCGCTGATGCGATATTGAAAGAGTTCCAGAAGATACAGTTTGACTCGGCCTTGAAAGCGTGTTTTGTCTTCTTCAGCTTCGTTGTGCATGTCCCGGATCGGCCGCAGTACCCGCACGGCATGTCTCCAATCTAGACACCAGAGCAAGTGAGTACAGTCATTGTCACGAGAAGCTATGGGTGATACTCACAGGAGACACTAACTTGCGAGAGTCACGAAGGCACAACAACTTGGCGAGAAGGTGAGCACCGACATGATCGCGCATCTTCTTGATTGCAACTGTTTCTCCGCACAGGAAGCACGTCGCAAACCCTTCCTGAGGTCCCGCCGCTAGTGCCATCGAGCCCTCTTGACTGGTGAAGGCGAAATCAGGGCTCCCGGACGATCGCATGGGGAACGTCGGCGTCGGCGCTCGAGATGGTATGAGGTGCTGGTATGACTTGACACGGTCCCACATGAACTCGGATAGGGCTGACAGGGTTATAGATGTGAATTTCCACGCGTATACATCGCTGCCGGATGTTTGCTGCTCCAGCGTGGGCTTCACGCACTCGGTGAGATGTGCAGGTAGCTCTAGAAGGGCAGACTTCTTCGATGCAGTGATCGCGGCCGTCTCACCGCCATCAGTAGCATTGAATGACTCGTAGCTGCCTGTCCAGGACCATGTTGAGGTCGATGAGTCTTGGGTAAGCTGTAATACTTGGCCGACAAATGTGATGCCTGATGAGCTGGCGAAATCAGCGAGTGGGATCGAGTCGACAGAAGCCCCGGATGTCTTGCGGATGGTAGTAACACGGATAATGGCGAGTGCAGCTGTATTTTGAACCCGTATGAATGTAGCACAGAACTGGCCAATGAGGAATCGGTCGCCGATAATAGAGTCGTCGTCATCCTTTGGAGGCGGCGGATTGCGCGAGAACGTGCGCACTTTCTTCACGCCTTGCACACGAGCAAGCCGGTCTGTGGATTTTCGGCCGTCATCTGTCATAAGGAAGTAGCGAATTGCTGCCGCTTTGTGCACGTCTTGGCCATCGACTGCAAGCCAGTGCGAGCTGTCCTTGCGGGACGCATCCAAGTCGCGATCCCCAACCTCTGGTAAGAGGTCCACTAACTCGACTTGACAATTCTCTTCGTCAGCAGAGGGCAGTGTTGTTCGTCTTGGTTGCGACGCGGCCTGCTCGACACCATGCAGAGAGTCCCAATCAAAGTCCTCGTTCAACCCGACATAGCCAGCATCCTTCCCAAATGGTCGGAGCAGGTCAATATCGTCAGGCAGCTGCTCAAGTTCAATATGCAAGGATCGAAGGAGCTTGGTGACGTTGCGGGCACCAGCTTGCCATACTGTCAACAGGCTCACCGACGCCACTCGTACATCGCCCATCCAAGACCTCGGGTTTGTATGATCTACGCCCTCCGCACCCTCGAGCCGGAGGCGCCGGTGGCCGCGATCCCATGTAGGATGCTTAGCAAGGATGCGACATACGTTTGCAGCAGTCGCAGCTCGCTGTGATAGCTCGAGAATGTCGACGTTATGGGCGCTGTACATGTCACGGTACGTGCCAAAGTTCCCCTCGAGGCGATCAGTGCCGTCCTGTCCTATGAAGAGTTCGCCATCCGGGCAGAGCAGCTTCATCTTCGCAGTGGTCCAGAAGATATTCTTGATGAATGTCTGCATGTCGTAGTACCACTGCCCAGGACAGAATGACGTCCGATTTCGACGATAGAGTAGACAGCACAGATGTGCAGCAGCAGAGAGCATCGTCAGCTGTTCCGAGAGTGAAAGAGTTGGTGTGATGAAAGGCTCGACAAGGTAGCCTACAAAGTGTCCGAGCAATGCAAGTGGGCGATTCTCGACAGCATTGGTGAAGCCTTCGACCAAAGCGAGCTTCTTGAGTGACAGGAGGAGTTGGACAGCGATTGGGACGTTCTGATGGTCCTTGTGGTTGAAGAGTGTTGTGATCTTCTTCTCACTGTAATCGAGTAATGCCGCGAACTTGCGCTTCAGATCGGTAGGTGTAACATGGTGATCAGCAACCAGCGGGCCACTATTGCCACGCAACAGGCTTGCGAAATCTGCAGTGATGGTAATGAGCATTCATACAAAGTATTATAGAAGGCGAAGCAGGCAACGAACTCTTGAATTTATGCTTAAAGTCGATCGTCATTGTACGGGCCTTCTGACCGCACTGCAGGTTCATCCGCGGGAGCATTCCAAGACGGTCGTACAGCCGGTCATTAGGTGACAAGGTCTCTGACATCAGTAGGTAGTGCAGAGCCCTTCGTCTTGTAGCATCTCCGTCGGATCCAAGAGCCCAGAGCTCCCCGTACTGCTCCTCGTAGGTGGTGTTCAAGTCGGGTATTGGAGCATCCCATGCATCTATTGCGAGCTGGATCCAACGCGCTTGAGAATGGTCGCGCTCCGTCTTGTTGGTCCCAGATATCATAACAGGGAGTACAGTGTAATCGTCGCGACCATATGCCGCGAGACCTACAAAGGTCGCCTCCTTCGCCAGAGCCAGAGACCCGTCATTCAGAGCGTCTGCAGCACCGTGGAGAGTTTCGAGTGTGACAGTTGTAATGTCAACTTCGTGTGATGTTTCGCGAGCAATACCGAGGATTGCGTCTCGTCGGCTGTCATAGCGAGGTCGTTCTTCAAGAGCAATTTCGTCAATCATTGCCTGCCATCCACGGCGTCGGGTTTGGCCGGAGCCCGACGAGGTCCCATGGAGTAACCCTGCGTTGTGTAGGACGAGTAGGTTGTGTGCATATTCAGATAGCCGCGGGAACCCGATGGATGCCTCCAGCGAAGGTAGCCGTGAGCGGGAGCTGGTTGTCGAGATGGCTGGTAACCCTAGAGCCTCTGCCATCGCATATTGCAGTTTTGGGCCACCCAAAGCCCCCGCTAGTGCCATGACATCGTAGTTCTTGTCCTGAAAACTCTTGGCCTGATAGAGACCACAGGCAGCCCGCGACATTCGTGCCACAATCTCGGAGATGCTCCTATGGTTCTGCATAGCAACACGTACTAGGCGATCAGCACCTTCAACATCGCCTTGTGCGAGAATCCCCTTGAAACGTTCGTGATCGGACAGTCGAGTAGTTGCCCTCTCGTATTGCTTCGCAAGATTCAGATTCTGGAGTAATGATGAGAGGCTCGGACGTCGAAACATACCACAAGTCACTCACCTGCAGCTTGAGTGTATTCTTCTCATCGTTCTTACGGTCCATCGCCTCGGTAAATTGGTTGAAGTTGTAATATCGCCAATTGAGCGACGTTGGTACAGGCTCAGTGGCGCGTGCGCGCATTCGCTCCAGAGTACGGTTCGAGTTTAGACTGGCACACTCCGAGCAAGGCTGACCGCGCCGCGGTACACGATGGCAAGATTTGCTGCGAACATACAGCCCTCCGAGTCTATCCCAGTGCGACAGAGTGTATGGTAAGTTGTCGAATGCATGGAGGTGGAAGGGATAAGTTCGCTCGAAAGGCATGGGGAATTCCAGGAGAATACCCGGACAGATGGTCGCAGCACGGAACATCGCCGTGATCTCTGCGTGACTCTCTTGTACAGGCATGTCTGCTGGCTCCGAGTCTGGAGACCCAGTGCCCGGCTCTGAGCGGGAAGCCATAGTAGCAGGGTCCGTGCTCGGTGCAGCAAGCGGAGGCGATGTTGCCAGCGGTGACGGAGAGGATGTCGACGTCGCCCTTGAGGGTCCACAGAACATGTCCATTAGCTTCCGCTGCTTTTTCAGGCCCGACTCCTTGCGCTGCTTGGCGACTGCGTCTCGGCATGGAGCTTTGTCGAAATGGGTATTATACGCATGTAGGCTCACCCCACTGCCAAGGTTAATGGCCATGCCACACAGTGTGCATCGCTTCATCCGTACCCACTTTGTGCGGTTATCAAGACCCGTCTCCGTGAGCCAGAAGACCCCATCGGTGTCAGCATGCTCCTCGCCAGCAAGATGGATGCCAGGAGGCTCAGTCAGTGTCGGGGCCTCGAGATGATTCGACTCGGATTCCTCTGGAAGCGCCTGAGACGTCATGGTGCTCGGATTTTGGTCACCCTTTGGCATGTGGCTAGAGTTGTTGTCGTACAGGCCCAGAGGTGCGTCACCGAGATGGTCCAGAGGTGCATCGCCGAGACGCCGGTCCGGAGGTGCATCACCGAGATGGTCCAGAGGTGCGTCACCGAGACGGTCCAGAGGCGCGTCGCCGAGATGGTCCAGGGGCTCAACATCGACAACAGGCTCTAGTAGACTTCCCGAAGACTCAGAATGTGTGTGCCACTCGTCGCTCGACTCGCCGTGTGAGCCTGAGCTTTGACTCGGACACCCAGAGGATGATGGCCCTGCTACTAGTAGCGTGCGAGGCGGGCTACCAGTGGCTTGTGAGCAATCATCAATAGAGGTAGATGCGCTACGTCTCGGCTGCTCGTGGATGCTGAATTGAATCAGTCAGTATGCGCCACGAGAAGTCAACGTCGTAGAACTTACGGTAGTGTCATGAGACAGCCGAGAATGTGAGTCTTTGTTACTTCGATTGATATGTCATCTTTGGTAGTATACGAGTCATCCACTGATGCAAAATGCTGCAATGCCAGAAGGGTGAAGATGCCGCAAGACCATGCATCTGATTGACGACTGGATTCTGGGGGTGACTTCACAGCGAAGGTCCATGTCTCGTCAATAGAGAGGAAGGCGTCGCGATTGATATACTTGATGATCTTGTTGAGGACATCATGCAGGAGCTTTATTACTGACTATAAGAGCATGTAGCAGTTTAGAAGGCTCTGAGACGCACCGGCTTTGCCCATAGATTCGATTGGACCTGCGGTAGGCTATCGTAGATGCCTGCTTCCCTTATGCTGAAGTCTACGTAGCCGAGAACCCAGTGCGCAGGCGATCCGCCACACATAGGAAGAGCCCAACGATGTTTGGCTCGTATTACATCCTTACCTCCCTACAGTGGTTGATTCAGTGAATGATTAATGCACGGATTCGACAGGACTCACAGCAGCGGACATGTGGGTATCAAACGATCCGGAAGACGGACCCTCACTCACTGTCCCGCCGACAAGAGCAGGGACCCAAGAAGAGAGGATGCAGTAGTTGCTCTCCTCTGTTGCTGCGACTCGGAAGTCTTGAAGGTAGGCACCGAACGCGTTGAGGACTGTACCGCCGACCTTGTGCTGGGTATGAGGTAACAGAACTTTGAGGTCCTGCGCAGTGAACTGAATGTTGCGGACGGCGCGAACGCGCGAGTCTAGGGCTATGGAGTCCACTGGCATCATGGGCAACAGTGGATAGTAGAGTAGGGAGAATACGACGTGGTGTACATGAGTAGCAAATATTCTGTTGTTCAACTTCGCCATCTACCTATTAGCCGTGGCCACTGGGTGGCCAAGGCGTGGACTGTCGTAGCCACAGAGGAGCCATTGGTTTACGCAGCGAGCTAGTACAAAGAGGGCACCACTGGGCGTGCGCGGCCACAGACGTGGCTGAGAGCGTGGCGCAGGGCGCCTACGCGTCTGTGGCTGTCTGTCGGGCTCCCAAAATTGCCCCACAGTCGACCAAATTAGTGATCATCGCCGCTCAATGTCGCATTTTGGAGCGACTTGGGGAGGGTGGACGGTTTTTTCGCACTTTTGGTATAAAATTTCGGAATACCCCATCCAAGGCCCGACCACCCACCCCTCCCCCGGTGGCCCTGTGTACGAGATCTTCCGATCTGGTACCCCTTGCTGCACTGCACTTCTTTTTCATGCGGCCTTGAGGCTCACCGGTTCTCCCCGCTTATTGTAGATGTGCCTTCATCCCCGGGGAAACAGCGGCTTGCCCCCAACACATTCGTGATGCTGCCACCTCCCATCTGGCCGCTCGTTGTCAGAAGGCCTTGTTGCGACATCTCTCAAATAGTCGAGCCACTTATGACACCGGCGTCCCCTGGCCCAGACTCAGTCTTGAGCTATCCTTTTGTCTACCTGCGTCCGCAGGCCGTCCGAGATTCTCGGCGTCGGACCGTTCACAAAGTAACACCCCGAAACGGCGACACTCCACAGGGCATGAAAATCGATCTGTGATCCCCTCCATATGGCGTTCGGTCCCAGGTCTTTTTTGGCTCCGTAGCCCCAAGATTGCCTCCGGGCTGTTCTACTGATCCGCCCGCAAGCCTTCCCAAAAGAGGCAAACCCATATGTACGTGGTACGCGGCCAGTCGAGGGCTGTGTACCTACCTCGAGGCCAGATCGGTACCGCCTCTTTTGCCCGCTGTACGTTCGGTCTGCCCACGGTGTACGCCCGGGGACACTGCCCGCCTCTATCCAGCTACTCGATCCTCGGGCAACAGTGAGGCCGCACTGCATGGTGATTCCGCACAAGGCTTCCGGAAGCACGGGGACTGAGCCCCCAGAGGATCGCGGAGTTGCGCGCACCATGCGTACCTCTCCTAGCCCGGATTCTTCAAGCGCTCCCCGGCGCCGCATCTTCATCTCGGAAGCGAGTGTCAGATAAGCGGAAAGTGGGCGTGGAACAATAAGTATGGCGATGGTGCCGTGCGGGCGGCCCACCGAAGGTCCTCCTGTCCCGCCACCCTGGCCTGGGTAGAACGACATCGACGATGTCCTCTGCGCTCTCCGCGTCCCTGGAGACGCTCGCTACCCATGGAGCAGCTGTCAAGTGAGTACAGAGTACTGTCTTGGAGGAGGCGTTTGCTGAGCGAGGTGTTGCATTTGACAGCGCCATGACCCGTATGTGCAGTGAAATTCTTCCATTAGAACCGCAATGTTGATCCACATGTTACACCAAAGTCGCCGGCTTCTCCATCCTCATCTACGATCACATTTTGACGGTGCGTCAAGGTCTTTCGTTCAAGATCTGTCTGTAACTGACTTCGCGAAGTTCGGAGACGAGGTAGGATCGTGCTCGTCAAGCTCAGTGCGTGATGGAATTGACGAACGTTAGGTCAACCACATTTGGAATGACCGGTTGGGGCTCGTCTCGATCATCTTCCTGCTGGTGCGTACCATGTGCTTTGCTCTGGCGCGTCTCATACCAATGTCCTGCAGAATCGATACATTATGTGTGTATGCCGGACATCGTGGACACTTGTGTAGTGACTGAGGTGCTTGATGATTCCGTAGACCCTTGGTCCTTGCCGTTGATGTCTATGGTGCGTGGCTCAGCCCTGTCGTGTCCCACTTTCCCTGACGTATCATCCACCTACAAGAAACCATGGGCCTCACGAGCAACCACCGCTCAGCCGTCATGGTCAGACACTTCTTACCTACGTGTATCTCCCATTCCCTGACACAGGTCGCAGCTGTGCAAGGTGTGGACAACTGTCCAGAGCTACGTCACCATAGCGTCTTTCATGTCCATCCACGGTACGTCACCCACATCCTACTCCGATCATCACTCATGGATGCACTCTAGCCATCGTAGCATGGCGACTATATGCCTTGCATGGGGGGCAAGCGTGGATACGTAGGGTGCTGTGGATCGCAGCGGTCGTCTACGTGTCCAGCTCAACCGCGATCATCACTGTCGCTCTCGTTCCCATCATCGGTGCGTCTGATGAGCCGTCTTTCGCGTGAGTCGATGGCTCAACCGACATCCACAGCGGACCTGCAGCCGTTCCACCACGAATGCGTCAGCTCTGTACGTGTGATCGCTCTGCAAGTCCCACTCTCCGCTGACGGTCGAGTACTCCCAGATACCCTCTTACCTATGGGTCGCTTGGCTACCAAGGTACGCGCAGGTGGCATGCGTCTGTGTGGCCGGCGCTAGGCTTGGGGAATGGAGGGTACTGACACCGCGATTGCTGACAGCGTAATCTTCGAAACACTCCTTTTCGGCCTTACGGTTGTGGCCATGCTTCGCCAGGAGAAACGTCGGTCCTTTAGCACACTGTCTCTTCTCCTGTATCGCGATGGTGAGCCTTATCCCCCACTGGGTGTGACACCGTCTCACGAGTGCTGTACTTGTACCAGGAATGTTGTACTTTGTCGCTGTCACAGGTGGGTACCATTATGGCTCAGTGTTGCAGCTTCCGAGTGCTGACTATTCCCTGTCAGTCTGCTCTCTGTTTTCGCTCCTGTACGTATATCGCGTCGTCAGGCTGGTCGTTGTAGCCTCATTGCTTCGACAGCGTATGGGCACTAGCGCCACCATC